AAACACCTTGTCCTCAAGGTTGATGTGAGGATATTGGTCTTTCAGTTTGTCATAGTCCTCCCATGTGGCATCTTCTGGTGGCAAGTTCTTCCACACGACCAGGGCCTGCTTGTGTAACTTCTTGCCCATTTTGACCCACCTTATATTTCTGATTTGTTGTGGCTCAATCAATATGTCCCCGTCTTTAGTGAACTGTGGGAGGGTTGGGCTGACCTTAGTGGTAGGACTTAGACATGGTTTCAGCATGCTGACATGAAAAACTGGGTGTAATTTCGAGCAAATAGGAAGCTCTAGTTTGTAAGCTACCTGCCCTACTCGTTCAATCACCATGAATGGGCCAAAATACTTAGGATCTAGCTTCTACCAAACCCGTCGGGCTACCGAAGCTTGTTGGTAAGGCTGGAGTCTTAAGTAGACCCAATCCCCCATTGCAAATTCAAGCTCCCGATGATTGTGATCATAGGCTAACTTCATGCGCTGTTGGGCTTTCTACAAATGCAGCTTGAGGGATCTCAAAATCTCATCTCTGTCCAATAACTGGGCTTCTACCTCAGCCATTGTAGAAGTCCCCTTCTCGTAAGGAAGCACAGCTGGAGGATCTCCCATAAACTATTTTAAATGGAGTGGTCCCTGCTGAAGCTTGGTATGTGGTGTTATAACAATATTCGACCCATGGCAGCCAATAAGCCCACTGTTTGGGCTTCTCTCCGATGAAACAATGCAAGTAAGTTTTAAGGCAACGATTGACCACCTCGGACTGCCCATCTGTCTGGGGGTGGTAGCAGAAAAATAAGAATCTCAGAATTTGCTCATAAAGAGGGGGTCTCTGTCGGTCAAGATAGAGTTCGGAGTGCCGTGCAATTTGGCTACCTCCTGGACATAAGCTCGAGCCACTGACCACTGTGGAAGCTGTGTATGGCTGTGGTAGCGCCAAGAAATGAGCATATTTGCTCAGGCGGTCCACAATCACCAGGATCACCGACTTCCCTCCCTGCTGATTTAGGCAACCTGGTAATAAAATCCATGGTAATGTCTTCCCATACTCGTTCTGGAATGGGTAAGGACTGAAGTAGACCTGCAGGAGACTGGGTGCTATACTTGTGCTGCTGGCATATGTCACAACAGGCCACATAACTCTGAACCATATGTCTCATTCCCCTCCAATAGTAATGGCTCGCTATCCTCTTGTAGGTTCTGAGAAACCCAGAATGCCCACCTATAGTCGAGTCATGAAATAACTTGAGAAACTCCTTCTGATACTCTGATTTGCTGGCTACTACCACACGACCTTTATAGAAGAGTGTAATACTAGTTACAGAATACCCTGGCACTAAAGTGGGATCCTTGCTCCATTGGGATCAGATCTGGCTGAGTTCTGGATCTGATTGTGCCTCCTGCTGGATGAGGTCATACAAGGGGTAATTGGGTTTAGACAGGCCCATCAGCTAGAAATCTTCTACCCTGGATAGTGCATCTGCAACTGCATTTGAAGGCCCAGGTTTATACTCAATATGAAAATCGTAACCCAGAAGTTTGTAGGCCCATTTTTGCTGTTCTGGGCTGAGAATCCTCTGCTCCAATAAATGTTTAATGCTTTGGTGATCGGTTCGCACCGTAAATCTCCTTCCCAGAAGGTACACCCTCCATTTGTGTACTGCTAAGGTAATCGCCATCAACTCTTTCTCATATGTGGACTTGGCTTGGGCCTCGGCTGATAGAGCTCGGTTGAAGAAAGCCAATGGTTGCCCATTCTGCATTAAGACTGCACCAATCCCCTTCCCTGAAGCATCAATTTCCACCACAAAGTCTTTACTGAAATCTGGAAGAGACAAGGTGGGAGGCGATGTGACTGCCTTCTTAAGAGATTGGAAGGCCCCTTCTTCCGCCTCGTCCCATGTAAAGGATTGTTTCTTCAACAACTTAGTGAGAGGTGCGGCCAACATACCATAACCGGCTATGAAACGTCTGTAGTAACTAGTCAGTCCAAGGAACCCTCTAGGTGACTTTTGGTTCCGTGGTCTAGGCCAGTTGGCCATGCTTGAAACCTTGTCTGGGTCTGTACAAACTTTCCCACCTGTTATTATATGCCCAAGGTAATGAATATGGGTCTGTCCAAAGGAAAATTTAGTGGGCTTGGCAAACAAGGAGTGCTACCCAAGTAGGTCCAGAGTGCGACGCAAGTGTGTTAGGTGTGAGGCCCAGGTGGGGCTGTAGATAAGTATATCGTCGAAGAAAACCAATATATAGCGTCACAAATACGGTCTGAAAATGTCATTCATGAGCCGCTGAAAGGTAGCTGGTGCGTTGGTTAAACCAAATGGCATAACCACAAATTCGTAGTGCCCATCCGACGTCCAAAAAGCTGTCTCATTTATATCTTCTGGGTGGGCTCGGATCTGGTGGTACCCGGACCTGAGGTCCAGTTTGGAGAAGAAGAGGGTCTGGCCCAACTCGTCAAACAACTCTTCTATCAATGGAATGGGATATCGGTCCTTCATAGTGATGTTGTTGAGGGCTCAGTAGTCAACACAAAATCTCCATGTCCCGTCCTTTTTCTTTACTAGTAAGACAGGTGAGGAGAACGGGCTGTTACTGGGCCGAATGAACCCTTTATCCAGGAGTTCTTGGATCATCTTATCCACTTCTACCCGCTGATAATGTGGGTACCAATATGGGCGGACATTTGTAGGAGGTGCTCCTGGTCGGAGTACAATCCTGTGGTCCAGCTGTCTCGAGGGGGGGAGAGCAGATGGCTCTTGGAATACGTCCTCGTATTCGCTCAGGAGCTGTTGGAGTTGGTCCTGCTGCTCGGGTTTCTGGGTTGTAGTATCATCAACAGTCAATGTTGGCCCAAGAGGCATGGGGCCCATACTCATTAGCAAGGGGGTATCCGAGACAGGTCTGGTTCCCCTTAATATGCAGGTGAGTTCTTCATGTTGGAACTGCATTGTAAGGTCAGCCCAATTGCACATTACTAGGCCCAATTATTGAAGCCATTGGATGCCCAGAACTATATCAGCCCCTGAAAATTCAAGGGGGTGCAGGTCTATAGTGAAGAGGTACCCCTGAATTTTAAGCCTAACTGATTTACATTTTCTCTCACATCTGATTCCTTGCCCACTGGCCACGTTAACAGCAAAGGGAGCTTTGGGTTCCACATCCAACCCGAGTCTCCGGGTCAACCCAGGGGTGACAAAATTTAGAGAACTTCCACTGTCGATTATGATAGCCACTTTTTGGGCCTGAACCCACCCTTCCACCCTCAGGGTACATGGGCTCTGACATCCCGATAGAGCTTGCAAAGAAATCACATAATATTCAATTTCCGTAGTTGGGACTGCTTCATTGGTTCCAACTTCCGGTTCCCGTTCACAGTTGGCACCCTCCTCTTCAACCTGCAATAGGTAGAGGTGTGGGGTCTTGCACCGGTGCCCTTGGGGAAATTTTTCGTCACAATTGTAACACTACCCTTTTTCTCGATAGGCCTGCATCTCGGTCCAGGATAACTTCTTGTAAGGTACTACCATGGTCTCGGGGTTCTTGGGTGTTGGGGCTTCTGGTTTAGTGCCCGGGGTGGGAAGTAAGGGTCCTGGAGCTGAATCTGCTCGACTGGGTGGGTTCATAATAGGGGTCCAACTGCTGGACCAATCGGTCTAGTGGTTTTTCTTAATCGGTTTAGCCTGTCTTCTTGGAGTTTAGCTAGCCAGATAGCAGAGATAAGAGTTGAAGGCTGCAATGCTTTTTACTTCAATCCTTACGTCTTCCCGTAAACTCCCGAAGAAACAGCCAACCAGAGACGTTTCCGGCCAACCATGCACACGGATGGCTAATCTCTCGAACTCAGTCTGATACTCCCGCACACTACCAGTCTGTTTGATGCGGGACAAGGATTCATCAAAATTTTCATACCCAGATGGTCCGAACTTCACTCGTAAGGCTTCGGTGAAGTCCATCCAAGTAGTCTGGGGGTGTGTTTTTCGATACCATTGGTACAACATAATGGCCTCTCCATCGAGGTGGATAGAGGCAATAGGCACTTGTTGGTGCGCCGGGGTCTCATGATATTCAAAATACCGTTTAGCCCAATAAATCCAAGGTACCGGATCATCACCTAAGTAAACTGGGAATATGATCTTCATCATCTTGCCTGGGGAGATCCCGCCACGTCTACCTGCACTGCTACTGGATCCTTCCGCTTCTGGTTCCCTCGCCATGGGTGTGGATGGTCGCTTGAACTGCCCCACCAGTGCCGACAAGGTCTCCTTGATATCCTTCAGTTCTGATGTGGTTCGGTGAACTTCTACTTCAATTCGATCAACACGATCATCTACTGCAGTGGATCTCGTATTAGTCATCAGTGCTAAGCTCTGATACCAGTTGATAAGATCACTTTGATATTCTGAAAACCTGAGCTGGTTCGAGGGAGCTCACCCTCCTGAAAACAGAGTAGAGTAGAGGAGAGGAAGAAGAAGGAAGAAGAGAGGAGGAGAGATGGAGGAGATCAGTAGGGTTTCATTTTTCATGCCCAGAATCGGTGAGGTAATACAATACTTATACTCTCTCTTCAGCCTCTCCTGCACATGGCTTGACTGAGACGGCTAACTAACTGGAGGGACGTGGCCTCCTCACGTAAACAAACCTCTGTGGCAGTTGCACATGGGAGATCGAGTGCTTCTCTCGTGCTTGGCCTGGCTGWTGAGGAGAGATGGAGGAGATCAGTAGGGTTTCATTTTTCATGCCCAGAATCGGTGAGGTAATACAATACTTATACTCTCTCTTCAGCCTCTCCTGCACATGGCTTGACTGAGACGGCTAATTAACTGGAGGGACGTGGCCTCCTCACGTAAACAAACCTCTGTGGCAGTTGCACATGGGAGATCGAGTGCTTCTCTCGTGCTTGGCCTGGCTGTTGCATGTCGTGGGCCTGGGTCTCCTGTGATGGGCCTGAATGGGTAGTCGAGGGCCTATCAGCTTTACACCTTGAAGCTCAAGCCTTTGTATGAGGCTACTAACACCTTGAGATGCCTTATGTGTGTTTTTGTCAATGTATATATAATATGAATATATTAGTTTGTGCATTTGTATAATTTTTGGAATCTGTGCATTGTATTAATTAAAGAGTAATATCATACAAAGAGAAAGAAGCATCACATCCCCTCAAGTAGTCCAAACTCCCATCTACAAATCCCTGGTTACACCCCTTTTAAACAATCTTATAATGTATTTACAACTTCACTTGTTACACCCCAAAAAAGTTGATCTCCATCTACTCCTTGTTTAGCTAGATAATCCACCAGCCTGTTTGCTTTCCTTGTCCATCAAAACTGAATTAGTAATTCCTTTGCCAGCTGCCTCACTTCTCTTAGTACATAATTATATTGCCAATTCAACAAGCTTCTATTCACTAATCCTCTTATTAAGATGTAGAAATCTCCTTCTACTACAATGTTTCTCATATTTAGCAGCTTACCAAGTTTAATCCCTTGGTGCACCACCAGTAATTCAGCCCATAATAAATGTAAATCTCCTTGCCCTATTGGCCCTCAACACAAAGCCACAAGTCTAAATACACCACTAATGCCTGGTTTTCCGGGATTTCCCATGCTACTTCCACCAAAGTTCAACTTTATATGTTGCCCGCTTGGATCTATCCATGATAACGCCATTATTGTTCTTGTGATTGTTGAACATGCTCTGTAAGGCCAGCCTCTGATCAAATTTTCCATTGAGAAAGGAGCAAAAGTAGGAAGTGCATATTTATATGTATGTATGCATTTGTGATCATAAGCTCTTAATCATATGTACATTTATGTATTATTTTGCATATAAAAATTTTTAGCTGTTATTAAATGGTTTATAAGCTCCTAATAATCTTATGGCTCTTTTCAATGTGATTAGTTGTTCATTTACATGCCTTTTCCAAACAAAAATATGCTCTTCTTTGTAATTTCTTTTATGGATTCCTTCTTTTGCATTTTCCAACACTTCATTTTTCTTAATTTTTGTAGAAAACTGGTAACTAGTGATAAGTTGCATGCCACAAAGCCATGGTTTAAAATTTACAAATATTCCTACTTCCATAGGTACTGACACAAAATACTACTAGAATATCTCTCAATATATTCCCTAGTATATAAAAATCTAACATGTGTTCTCAACAAGTTTTACTTTGTTAATTGTATTAATGTAAAGTTTTCAATACAATACATAAATATTTGTTTTTATTGATGACAATGAAGGATTTTATTAAGTTGTTTAAAAGAATTATTTGCAAGTACAATGTGTGAGGCACCCCTTTTTGTAGGCTAGTATAACCCAAGTGTTTATTAATATGGATAATTTCTTATTTTTCTTTATGAAATGATTTTAATTATTTACTTACAAAATAGTCAACTGTTTTAATATTTATTTACAATAGCTTAAAAGGCATATTCATATTTAAATCATTATTTTACATCAAATAAAAAAATGAAATAATATTTACACTATAATAACAACTGCAATTAGATATAATATTGTGTAGGAATTGGCCATTTCAAAATTCTATAATCATTTTATAAGATAATTTTATCACTTTATAATGATATAATTATTTGAATGAGTATGCCCTTTTGTAGTTTCAAGAAAAAAATTAATAGAAATTTTCATAGGTTTATGTTTACAATGTATAAATTTTTCATAATAAATATGCACAAAATTTCAAATGACATTTCCATAGAAACCAACAATTTAAACCTTGCTCAAGGCTTATGATTCATGCATCTAAAGGTCCTATGGCTTGGCTTCATGCTTCTGCATTCTTAAACATTTTTCCCAACTAAGGGATCAATAGTTGTGAAAAAAAAAACTCATTTTCTTGTTTTTTTTTAGTTTTCTATTTTATCCACAACAAAATAAATCCTATTTCACCTTCTTCCATCATCTTTAAGCCATACCCTACCTCATCCTAACTCAATTTGATAAAGCCATATTCAAATCATATGAGGCAACCTACAAGAATCCTACTTCTCCCTACAAAAATACTATTTTGCCATTACTCTTGTGAAAGACCAATGTCCTATTAAATTGTTAACCCTTAATTCTTTTTTTCCTCACCACCCCTAACCCATGTCTAGGGGTGGAAATTGGGTGGGTTTGGGCAGGTAAGGGGTGAGCATGGGTCAGTTCGGTTTGGTTCCATGGCAGAACCTAGAACCCACCCTATAGGGGTCAGTTCCAGGTTTTTGGAATCGGAACCTACTCTATGAAGGTCGGTTCTGGCCTTGGTGGTTCCATGGTTGGTTCTAGGGTTTACCTGGCGAACCTGATCTTTCTTTACTACCCCGCTTCAAAAAAACAAAAAAAAAAAGAAACATATTCTTATAAAAACTTGACTTTTAATAAATATAATATATAGTTTAAAACTTGCATTATCTATTGATGCAATTGAGTAATTTAATATGTAGATTATCATGATATATTAATGTATTGTTCAAAACTTATGATTATAATTTAAATTTTGTAAATATTAACTTTTACATTACTTTCTTTACACACATAAATATTAAAATGAAAACAAATGATCAAATCACTTAACTCAATGGTCAAGTGAGACCATGGCCCGCGGGCTTAAATTCAGGCCAAAAAGCCCGGCCCGGAATAAATTTGAGCCAGGCTCGGGTTTTGTCAAAATAGCCCGGCCCGACCTAATATTAAACTTAAAATTAGTTATGTGATTATGTCCATTTGAACAAATTTTTTGATTTAAGAATGTAAAATTGTGTTTTAAAATATAAAAGAAAGGGAAAAATACCATCTTGTAGGCCTATTGTTCATTTAAATAGAAAAAATCTGAATTTTTAATTCTAATTTGAATAGGGAAAATTGTTTTTTTTTTCAATTA